GAGTCAGTGACATAGCCACAGAGGACTAGAGCAGAGAGTGAAGCGTCCAGCTGATAAGAAGAGAGGGCATATGCATAAGAACACCCACACTTTCAGATAATACCCACTTATCCTGGCTTCAGTAACTGGATGATCAGAGCTCAACCAGAAGTAAAAAGAAGAGGGGGAAAAAAAGGCTACAGTTTTCAAAAATACTCTCTGAAGTCTTCTTAAAACCAAAGCTTAACTAATAAAAAATACTTGAATTAAAAAAAAGACAATTAGTTGGCCAAACATTTTTCTGTTTAAAATCCTCAGCTAACTCCATATTACTAAATGTTTTGTGCTCATCTAGTAACCAAAAGTTCGGCAGTTGAAACCCACCCAACAGCACTGCAGAAGAATAGCCTGGTGATCTGCTTCCATAAAGATCTCAGCTAAGAAAATCTTACAGTATGGTTGTACTCTGTTGCCATGAGTCAGAATGGACTCAACACCAGTGGGTGTGGTTTGGTTACTTACAAATATTAGATCCAATTTTTGGCCTTTAAATCCTTTCACAAACAAGGCAAGTATGAATAACTATATAAAATAATGGAATGTACAATGTTCTAAACTTAGTTTACTTGTAGAGTCTATTGCAATCTGTATTCAACACACCAACAAGGGCTCACTACACCTACTCTAAATCTCTTTCCCATTCTGGTTACCATGACAAATCTCCCAAATTGTAAAACTTTAGGTCTGTTCCTATTCTGATTCATCAGCCATGACAGAATCAGTTTGAAGCCCTGCATTAAAGGGTAAATAGGAGTTAGATGGACTGCCTGTTTTGAGGTCTACTATGAATGAATGCCCAGGATCGGGTAGTGTTTCATTCTGTTGTACATAGGGTTGCTATGAGTCGGTACCAACTCGATGGCACCTAACAACAACAAACGAATGCCCCCAGAGTCCTGGTGTGGCGCTGTGGGCTAATGGTCTGGACTTCAAAGTCATTTGAACCACAAGATCGATGGTTCAAGCTCACCAGTTGCTCCTTGGAAACCCTATACAGGGTCGCTATGGGTCGGAACGGACTCAACAGCACTTAACAACAACAATGAAAGCCCTGAAGTCCTAGTGTGGCGCTGTCAGATAAGCACTGGGCCACAAGGTCAGTTTGATCTATAAGGTTGGCAGTTTAAAATCACCAGCCACTCCTTGGAAACCCTATACAGGGTCATTATGAGTCAGAACTGACTGGATAGCACTTAACAACAATGAATGTCCCTAACACCAAGGCAGGAACACAGAATTTTGGCTGATTATTACAAATTTAGGAAATAAGCGTGCATGCAATTATCAGTTTGCAAGCTTCTCAAAGACAGAAGACAACACTTAATAAAACATATCAAAAACCTAAAATATATACAGGCATTCTCTGAGTGATAAATATCTAATTTACAGATAACTCCTACTTGTCCTATAACATAGGAATTCCTGTATTGAAGTGGAAATAGGAACAAACCAGAATGTTTACAATTTGGAATGGGAAAAACTATGGGGTGAAGCCCTAGAGTGGAGACTCGTAAGAGGTATGGTGAGCCCTTTCCAGATTTTGATGCTTTAAGAGTGGTTCACTGGCAGAGACGACGACGTGGAGAGATGGAGCGGCTGGGGACTCTAGACCCAGAGAGGGAGAGGGACTGTGTGCTGACGACTGAGGGGTAGGCTTGCAGGGTATACCCTTTGGTTGGTTGATGATGCATGGAGGGGATTGTAATCATGGCAATGAAATGATACACGATAGGATGAATGCAAAGCTAATGTTCTCCCATGTAAACTATCACATAATTCACAATAAAAACTTAAAAAAAAAAAAAAGTGGTTTACTGGAAAGTCATACACCTTCAAAGTGGTACAGTTGGCTGCCATCTTTGAAGGCCTGCTTTAATGTTATGTAAATTTTCCCTCACTCTAAAAGGACTGAACCTACCCTTACTCTGAACCCACCCTTACTGGCAACAAACTCTTCATCACAATCACTTTCATTAGCTGTTTTCTTGCACTGAAGTTAGGCTAAATATGAACACTTATGAACCTGTTCTGACTGGTCTACAAATTCTTCCAGGCACAGTTAGGAACAGATCTCATTCATAACCAAGAGACTGTCCGTAACTCTAGAACAGACAGTCATGGATATTATTAACTTCATGGTAATAATAATCTAAGTTTAAAACATCAGGCACCTACTAGCTTCATAGATGTGTGGACAAATGGTTGAGAGGCCATGTGGTATACCATTCAGGGCTTAGAATCAGATGGATATGGGTTTAAGATCCAATTCTAACACTGACAAGTTACAAATATATCACAAAGTCCTTTGAGCTTAGTTATTCTATTAGTTGAGGGATGGACTGAACCCAATGATCTCAAAGGCATTCCCAGTTCTAATGTTCTATAATCCCGAGTCTATTTTACTATTTAGAAGACAAATAGTTGACTTATATGGAATCAGAGAATATAAAAATACCAACATAAAGCAGAAAACTACAAATAATTCTGTGGCTTCTCTTAATATTTGAGGCCTTATATATTTACCTGTTCTTCTAATTGGAAATTCTTTTCTAACACCAGAAGCATGTGGTCTCGCAATGCTGAATTCTCATGCTCTTTCAGGTTCCCTCGTTTATCCTTCGATATGGAAAGAAAAATATTGAGCAAGTTAAGGCTGTTGAAAGGCTTCAAAATTGAGGAAAGGTAATATATATAATTTGATAGAACAGAGCCTTAACAACTTTGTTTACTTTAATAGTGTACACAGGAAAAATTGCTTCCTCCAAGTCTTTGCCAGCTTTAGGATTCTACAGTATCATGAGATAATCTTAGAGTTACAAACATAGAGAATCAGGTCACTATTCAAAATTCTGTGCACTGACTTCCTTCTCTGCCCTGAAGGTATATGGCTGTGGGTTAAATGTAGTTTTCATTATCTTTCAATTATTCCCATATAAAATCGTATCTTCTTGGTGGGTTATCGTCAGTTCAGTTTTAATCCTAGACTAGTTTTCTCTCCTATCAAACACGTATATATGCTACTTCCCATCACTGTCCTGCTCTCATGGTCTGAAAATATACAAACTACTTTTAATTTTACCCTATGCAAGCTGTTGCCTTTGAAAACGTAGAATACATTTGTAAGAAGAAATGGCTCCTTCTTCCTTGACCATTAATTTTCATTGCAAACTGATTATTTTTTAATGTTTTGCTGTCAAATTGATTCCTCTCATGGCAACCCCATGTGTGTCAAAGTAGAACCGTGCTTCACAGAGTTTTTCAATATGTGATCTGTTAGACATAGGTTGTCAGGTACCTCTGGGTAGATGTGAACCGCCAATCTTTTCAAGTAGTAACCAAGCACTTAGCCATTTATACTTCCCAAGAACTCCATGCAAACTGACTATAGTACTAGTAAAAGCAAACAGAAGGTTTTCCAGGTGCTCTATAAACTCTAAAGAGACATTCATTAGCAATTTCCCTTTAGGTTAGGGCTGACCCCTTTAGTAAAAAGGGTTCCAGAGAATAACTCCCCAACCATCCCCAGCTCTAGTACTAAGCTCTAGAGAACAACCAAACGAGCAGTTTGGGCCTAACTGTGAAGATCCTTCTGGAGATGAATGCTACTCCTATTGTATTTCAAGCATTACACAGGCAGATCCTATCCTTTTTTGCAGCTAAGACACCCAGTCACCAATTTCATACACGACAAATGTATGCACTCTTTGACAAATTCTTTTAAAAGTTTCTGTAATGCATTTTTCAAATGGCTTTTAAAAGAAGAAAACTACTTGCTTCTATTAAATAATAAGTTACTGTTGTTAAGCGCCGTCGAGTCAGTTCTGACTCATAGCAAACCTCTATAGTGTTTCCGAGGAGCAGTTGCTGAGCTTGAACTGCCAACCTTGTGGTTCAAATTGACCTTGCAGTCCAGCGCATTAACCTGTAGTGCTACACCAGAACTCCTGTTAAATAATACTGTTGTTCAGTGCTGTTAAGACGGTTCCGACTCATAGCGACCCTGTATAGGGTTTCCGAGGAGCGGCTGGTGAGTTTGAACCACCACCTTGCAGTTCAAACTGACCTTGCGGTCTAGTTCATTATCCCACAGCACCACAGCAGGATAATGAGATGAAAAATGAAAAGTAAAAATACTCTTGGCTCCATCCTCCTAATTCCTTTGTCTCATTCACCAGACTTAGGAAATATAAACGAGGTATCATCAGAAAGTCTATGGGAAAATGGAATGAAAAGAAAATGGAATTTTTCTATAAACTTTTCAAAGAACTCCTTTTTATATATGCATCTTCATACAAATAAGATCATGCCATATTTAATATTTGGTAATTATTTACTCACTTGAAATAAATACCTTTCTATTATAAGCACACAAAGATACATCTCATTCTTTTTGTCAGAAGCAAATTATTCCAAAAAATGAATACATAATTATGCCAGGGGGACTTAAAAAGTTCATGGAAAAAATGGAATTGAAAGAAAATGAAATTTTTCCATCAACTTTTTGATGCTTTCTTGTGCAGTCAGTCCTAAAGTGAGAGACTTATATGTTGTTTTTAGTTTAATTGGATTTTTTGGTTTTGCTATATAAATAATACTATAATAAACACTTTTATGTAATGATTACATACTTCTAAAAAGGATATTTGTGAGATAAATATAGTAGTGGAACTAGAAGTCAATGTGTGGGCTTGTTTTTATTTTCAAAGACATAACCAAACTTCCCTAACAAAAGTTGGATAATATCAAATGTTCTCATCTTTGCCAATTTGATAATAAAATTAGATGGTGATAATTATTATAAGTTACAGGCGTGAAACTGAACATCTTTTATTGTTCCTTAATTTATCAGCCACTTAATACCCCGCCCCCTGGAAGTATCTAAATATTCCGTTGCCTATTTTTCTTTTAGGAGCTCTGGTAGCGTAGTGGTTATGAATCGGGCTGCGAACCTTAAGGTCAGCGGTTCGAAACTACCAGCCGCTCTGCGGGAGAAAGATGAGGCTTTCTACTCCTGTAAGGATTTACACCCTTGGAAACCCTGTACAGGGTCACTATGGGTCGGAACCGACTCGACGGCACTAACAACAACAACAACAACATTTTTCTTTTAATTTTAATAATATATATGAATTTTTGTAAGTTAAGAAAATAGCCCCTTTTGTTGTTACAACTATTTTCCCCTCCTCAGCTTGTAGTTTTCCATTTGACTTTGTGGTATGTTAAAAACCCTATGCTGTTGTTGGATGTTGTCAAGTCGATTCCAACTCATAACAACCTCACGTGATAGAGCACAACTGCCTCATAGGGCTGCCGAGGCTGTAACTGTCACAGGTGCAGAACACCAGGTTTTTCTCGTACCGAGTCACTGGGTGGGTTTGAACCACCAACCTTTCAGTTAGCAGACAAGAGCTTAACTATTTAGGTCTCTCCAGGGCTCTTTTTTTTTTTTTTTTTTTAACTTTTATTATGAATTAGGTGATAGTTTGCATTGCAGAAAATCAGTTTTACACTCAACCAACTGCACTTTGCTTCATTGAAATGATTACAATCTCCTCCATGCACCATCGGCCAACAGTGCCTTCCTTCCATCTTCTTTTGATGCTTCCTACATCATTCAATATTTTTCTTATAGAATCCTTCAAAACTTCAGGTTGAGGCTTGAATTTTTCTTCAGTTCTTTCAGCTTGAGAAATGCTGAGCATGTTCCTCTCTTTTGGTCTTCTAACTATAAGTCATGTAACCTCAATATTTGTGGTTAAACCTTAAAATGATGATTTCTTGGTTTTGTGTTAGTTATCTTCTTGTTGTTAACGTGCTGTGAAGTCAGTTCCGCTCCATAGCAACCCTGTATAGGGTTTCCAAGGAGCAGTTGGTGAACTTGAACTGCTGACCTTGTAGTTCAAACGGCTTTGCAGTCTGGCACATTAACCCACAGCACCACACCAGTTATCTTAGAAAGAGGCCTTTATTTCAAAAACAGAAAGAAAATTCACTTTTATTTTCTTCTAGCTGTTTCATTATTTATTTTAAATAAACTTTTTATTTTGCAGTAATTTTAGATTTACAGAAAATTTCCTATGAGAATATACCTTAATATATAAAACTGGTTTTACACATTTAAGCATATTATCTATTTCAGAAGGACAACAAATTAAAATAATTGATTAAAAGGACTTAGGTAAAGATCAAGGTTTATTTATAAAATTTATTGAATAATACCCTTTAAAAGTGTTTAAAAGACACTAGCATATGTTTTTAAAATGATTTCAAATAAACTTTGCTTCAAAATACTCAGTGACTGACTGGTTTTATTTGTGATTATGGGATGAATGTTTCTAGAAAGTCCCAAAACCTGGTACAGGAGAGTCAGAATTATAAATAATTGCTAGTTTTATAGGTTCTTCTGCAACTGGGCTAGAGTCAAAGAGTACAGTGAACTCTTCACATGAATGGCACAGTCGAATGTCGAAGCAGAGGAGAAAGGCATTTCCTACCTTTACGGTACAGCCGTAGCGCTTAAATGGACAGGCTTGTTCCGCTTCAGGACACACAGCAAGGTGCTTATCCACCTGTAAAAGGGACAGTCTAAGCTATGGAAGTTCATCACTGATTCACCAACTGTCTGCTGCAATTGCAGCTAGCAGGGAGTCAAGGGTGGCTTGGGATGAAGCGAGGGAACTGGAGCAAGAGGGGTTATTGGGAGGAGAAAAGCTATGCTAAGGCCTGGCAGAAGAAAAGCCATGATGAAATCTGAGAAGAGTCAGCAGGGGAAAGGGAAGGGAAGACAAGCAGACAATTATGATAGTTATAATTTAAACCTTGGGCCTCTGCCAATGGGATTCTATCCAACATGCAGCACAAGGATTACTATCTTATGTGCCATCGAAAGAGTAGATTCATATTTAGTTACCTCCATTCTTGGAATAATCTGCAAACACTTGTTGGGACAAGATACTGGGTAGTCAGGACATAAATTTTCCTCATGTTTCTGAAACAGAGAAAGTGTGATGAAACAAAGTCAACACTTGCTTCTCAGGCTTCTCGTTTATAGACCTGCAGTGATTACATATACATGTATCTCTCAGGGGATACATGCTATGTGGCGTACACTGTACAGGAAGTTATGGCCTAGTTCCAGAAGGGATTAAAGATGGCTGCTTCCATGGTATAACAATTCAATTATAAAATTTAAATTTCCAATTATTCCCCCAAAAGGCCTGCAATATTTAAATAAGAATAATAATTAAAAAAAAAAGAGTAGCTGCTGAGAGTGCTTATGAACAACCAAACACCTTATGGGATTTGGTTCCATAGTTTGGAGGTTTAGGGTCCTGGTTTCATGGACATCCCAGGTAACTGGCCTAATAATATGTTCAGTGACTCCGCTGTATCTCCCAGTTCTATGGGTAGTGTATGGAGTCTTAAGAGCTTTCAAGCAGTCATCCAAAGCACAACAGTTGGTCTCTATTCACCTAGAGAAACACAGAAAGGAGAGTGGGGAATAGGAGGAGAAAATGGAATGTGTGCTAATTGCTTCCATGAACTGCCTCCTTTGTCACGTGGCCCCATAACTGGACGTTGTCCAGCTATCACTGCAGAGCATTTTGATCAAAGATTCTATAAAAGAATCCTGACCAAAGTGGGGGGAAATGCAGAATAGAACTTCAAATTCTCATGGACTCTAGACTCTCTGGAGCCATGGTAGCTGTATGAACTCCTGAAACTACTGCCCTGAAATAGAACCTTATACCAAAAATAGCTTCTGAAGCCTTCTTAAAACCAAACAATTGTATAGCTCTATTAGTAAAAAGGGTCTGCCCTGAGCATGTACTCTTTTAGAAACTATACAGTATCAAACTGGCAACAACTTGAGAGATTAGACAGGAACGTCAGGGGGCAGGGAGTTTGTATCAGTGGGGGAGGAACGACTCAGAGAAGCAGTGTAAGAATGGTTACACAACTTGAAGAACATGTCAGTGGCACTAGATGGTACATGTAGAAAGTGTTGATGTATGCTTTGATGAGTATATTATCAACAACAACAAAATAAAATTGTAAGCATAAAAAAGTGGTCAGAGAGCACCTGACTCACAGAAAGCAGACTATGGGAGGTATCAATATGGCTCCCTCAGCGCATGCAGAAGGTATTGTGTGCTTTTTTTTTTTTTTTATGGCCATCTCTTGCTTTGCCTGAGTGCAGACATTCTCCTCGCCTCTTTGTGACCCAGGACCCAGCATCGCTCTTTACACACAAGTGCACACAGCTCAAATCATATTTTTGCTGATAGTAGACTTCTGCCAACAAGGTTTCAAGCTTTCTACAGAGCTTCTCTAAGATAAACTTATTCTTGTTTGTTTGTTTTTTAACTGTGGTAAAAATATACACAACAAAACATGTGCCATCTCAACTATTTCCACGTGTACAATTCAGTGACACTGCTTTCACCCTTCTCAACGTCCGCTTCCCAAGTGATAAACTTCTTTCATTCTGATTCTGTACAGAAATAAATCCATAAATGCTCCTGGCATGTTACCGGACCCACTGTGATCACTCAGGCACTGTGATAAAAAATGTAGCCCCAGAAAGCAGATGGTAATTTCTACCTGCAGGCTGATGACAACCACGCCCTTCTTGCAATAAAGGCATTTTTCCTCTCGAAACTGGCAGTATGTGCTCAAATGCTGGTTCAGATCTTTCCGTAGGACTGCTTCCCGACAGTTCTCGTTAGAACACTGCACAGCTTGAAATAAGCACTGCAGAAGATGGTCCTGCAACAGGTAACAACAGGCCAGTGTCACCTACTATCCATGGCAGCAGGAGGGGGAGCCACTAGGGAAGGCAGAAAGAAGAGCCAGTCCCCTCAGCCTCTGCCTGAAGGCTGTCAGAACTGAAGGCTGTGAAATTCTTTGTTTGAAGGAAGCTGGAGGGCAGGGGGAGAATGGTAAAGAAGGAAGTATGCCGGATTTGTTTTAGATTATCTACTACTAATTCACACTTATTCTCTGCTTCCCCTTCCCTGCCATTAAATCAATTCTGACTCATAGCAACCTTATATATAAAGGTTCGAAGGCTGCAAATCTTTATGGGAACAGACGTCTCATCTTTCTCCCACAGTGTAGTTTGTGGGTTTGTACTGTGGATCTTGAGGTTAGCAGTCCAGTGCTTATTTAGTTCTTCCTATTTTTCTTAGGCTTGCCAGTTAATTTATTAATTCATCAAGAACATCTTTTATTTCTTTCGTGAGCCTTCCCTTTCCGTCCCCAGATAGTAAAAGATGGGGCAAAAGGTAAAAAGGGAAGGGCAGGGTGTATCTAACTAAATGAAGGAAGGAAAGGGAAAGACTAAGGGAAGACAAAGAAAAGAGAGGAAGCTATTTCAGAAATGGGATCGAAAAGGAGAAGGAGGAAATACAGGATTCCAAAAGGAAGCTGGGCATGGCCAGACTTGTAAAATCAGAAAATATTTTTAACTAGACCATCAGAAGATGCGGATCTGCACAGCAGTCATTCCAGGGTTCTTCACATTGTAGAGTTTTAAAAGCCGGAACTTCTCAGTTTAAAAAAAACAAAACCTCGGGACCACTGTAAATTATTATGATGCTGACCATTTATAATACCTTGGAGTCCTGGTGTGGCACTGTGGGTTAATGCACCAGACTGCAAAGCCCTTTGAATTGCAAGGTCAGCAGTTCAAGCTCACCAGCTGCTCCTCAGAAACCCTATACAGGGCCACTATGGGTCAGAATCGACTTGACGGCACTTAACAACAACAATGAACTTGTCTCTTTGCAATACACTTTAAGACAAGGGTTGGCAAGCTACCTGTGGGCCTATTCCAGCCTGCCATCTGATTTTGTAATTATACTGACAACCTGCCATATCCATTTGTACACATATTGTCAATGGCTGTGTTCCCACTAACATGAATGGTTGACACAGAAACCACATGACCTGCAAAGCCTATAATATCATCTGGCTCTTTAGAGAAAAAAGTTTGCTGGCTTTTGACTTTTTTAAAGGAAAGCAAAACATTTATCAACAGTGAGATAAAAACTATACAGCAAGACTTGCAAAACTAGGAACCTGTGTAAGGAAGACACCTGTCAGAGAAGGATACCTCAAATATTTTTCATGAAAACAATTACAGTTGTACCTCAGTATCCATGGGGGATTAGTCTCAGGGCCCTCGCAGGTACCAAAATCTGAATATGGTCAAGTCTTTTATATAAAATGGCATAGTATTGCATATAGCCTACACATAACCTCCCATATGCTTTAAATAATCTCTAGATTACTAATAATAGCTAACACAATGTAAGTGTTAGGTAAATAGCACTTTATGCTCCAATTTAACCTTTGAGGGATAGCTCTGACCACTTAATTGCAAATTTGCCTAATGTAATATGTTGTTTGATTTCTTGACTTCTGCTTCCATGAATGTTGATTGTGGAACCCAAGCAAAATGAAGTCTGTGACAACTTTAATCTTTTCTTCATGTATCATGATAGTGGTGAGGATTTTTTGTTTTCTTTATATTGAGGTGCAACACATACTGAAGGCTGTGGTTTCTGATCTTCATCAGTATTTTAAGTCCAGTATAAGCATAGGTCTTGTACATAATTTGAGTAAAAATGCAAACCATAAAAAATGGCTTAGTTTCTTTCCCAGTCCTATAAAAGCGAAAAAAAAGTCGTGTTCTTAGTAGGGTGTGACAGAAAAGTGGTAAGACTGCCTTCTGTCAAAGACCGAAAGCTGAGGTTTCACTGTAGCTCTTCATCTTTGTGTTCAGTAAGAAACAAATGGTGACAACAACTGAAATCTACACCTGCTCCAAAATTTACCAATGTTAGCCTCTCAACTCTCCACCAAAACAGTCAACTTTCATCTAGACTCTGCTACCTACGAGAAGCTATATCTCACCTTGAAAGGGGGAGAACAGCAATGAAGGGAAGGTAGTGAAGAAACAGGTGGAAAGAAAACAACCCCTGTTTTTCGTAACCCTGATCTGGTTACGAAAACTGTTTAACGGTCCATTTTTGAACTTCATTTCCTTTTCAGTCTGAATGACAAAAAAGTTGGAAAATGGGTTCTACTCTAAGATCTAATATTCAAAACAAGTGGTGAGGGGCTGTCATACGAAAGCACAAAAATGTCCTGTGAACCTCCCAGGAAATCCCAGGGTTAACAAGGTTAGTCACTAACACAGCTCAGTGCCTGTGGGGAGTTGGAGGTGATGGAGAAGAGACTGAATCACCTAAAACATGCCTTCCAAAATCTGTAGGTAGGAGGGGAAAATCACAACCACCTCCAAGCCATTCCCTGGAAGCCTGAGTTTTAGATCAACTCTGATAAGAGTCTGCCATGACAGAGCCGGCACATCTGCAGCATTTCTGTACAGCAAACGTTTCTGTAAAGAGCCAAATAATAATATTGAAGCTTACCACTAACAACCTGCCTCCCCAGTTGGACAGGAGGACAAGTAGAGTAGTTTCATTTTAAAGGGACTCAACTCCCCTTCACCAACAGAAAAGACTTGGCTTGTGTGCATCTCACTTCAGTGCTGCACCTTTAAAGAACATCCAGCAGGTGGGATCGGGCCCATGCTATCTGGACATTAGCTATTAGATCATCACTCAGAGACCATGGCACACAGCTTCCGGGAAATACCCACCACCACATGTGGTGAGGAGTAAATGCTTTGGGGGAGGGCCCATCACAATCACATCTCCCATCAGCACCACCTGCACTCATCCTCTTGTTCTCAACCATGTATTGTTGCTGCTTGCTGCTGACAATTAGGCCCCCAACTCACGGTGACCAGTGACTGAATGCTCAGAGGAATGAAACACCGGCCCATCCTCTGCCACTCCCATGACAGGCTGTGGGTCAGACCATCTCAAGAATTTGCACTGGCTCTCCCAGTCCTTCATGGTGACATGTGACATGTCCATGCTTGAACGTTCCTTTGGCCCAGCATACCCTATACCTTATCTTTTGGCTCTAGGATCCCTAGCCAATAATTAAGGTCTAATATAATATGGTATGCCATTCACACGTTCATACAGAATGGAATTCTCCACCCACATCTTAGTCCTGGCTTGTTGCATTGCAGCTTACTGTGTCGCTGGCCTGTGAATTTTCACCATCAGCTCTGTGAATCCCCTATAACGCTTACTAACTGTCATATAAAGGTGTTGAACACACATCACTGGAAAAATGATAACAGGCAAAACAAATATTGATCACGAGTAATACCAACCTGGTATCGCCCAAGAGTTATCTTGGCATTACATCCAGGAGCATTTTTACAATACACATATAAATTGAGGACTTCCCTTTTGCACCAATTGTCTTTAAACACCTAAAAGATAAACATTATAGGTCACACAAACTCCTACAATTCTACAGTAATGCAAAGAAGGCTATTATTAACTTGGTCTCTACATTTATCTCTAAAGTTGAGCGGAAACTTCCAGACAGTGGTTGGAAAGGAAATGTCAGACTCACCATCACACTCAAAGAAAAAGGTTGTGTCATATACATACTGCTGGTAACTCAGAGCTGCCCAGAGCAGCAGGCTGCAGCTAGGAGAATCACATGGTGAACTTGACCCCACCTGCTTAAAGGTCAAGGGGTGGGATGGTGGCCAACATAATACTTTTGGCTTCCGGTCCCAGAGTAAACGTTTGTATTAGTTATTCATCATTAGTGTCACCTAGGTCAAGCTGTGCTGGCTTGCTTTTTCAGCTCAAGTCAGGGATTGGCAAACTTTCTCCTTAACAAAGCAGATAGTAAATATTTTCAGTTTTGCAGGCCATATGTGGTCTGCATGACAGCTACTCAATTCTGCCCCTAGTAGAATGAAAGCATCCCAAGAATAAATCAATATTTATTTACAAACACTGACATTTGAATTTCTTATCATTTTCACATACTATGAAATCATGTACTTTTGATTTTTTAAATGCATTTTTTTAAATTTTGAAATAGTTTTAATAAGAGTTCTTATATACCCTACTTTTGATATTTATTCCAACCATTTAAAAATATAAAAAAAAAAAACCTTGGCTCATAAACCATACCATGCAACCAACCCCATGTGTTAAAGAGTAGAACTGTGCTCCAAAGGGTTTTCTTGGCTGTAATATAGAATCAGCACTGAATTGCTAAGCACATGGTCGGCGGCTGAAACCCACCAGCCAATCTAAGGAAACCCTATACAGCAAGGGTAGGGAACCTTTTTGATGCTAGAATTTATATTATTTCCAGGCCATTCAAAATTATCAACTTAAAAATTAGCCTGCTCTATCTGGTTAAACATTTAATTATTTCACCCTAGTCCTGGTGAGGCACTGCAGGAGAATGCACTAGACCAAAAGGTCGGTTTGAACCGCAAAGTCAGCGGTTCAAACTCACCAGCTGCTCCTTGAAAACCCTAGATAGGGTCACTATGAGTTCGAACAGAAGCATCATAAACAGATAGAGACTGAGCAAGTACATCAGGCTAAATCCTCAGAGAACGCTTCCCAGAGGAAGTGATGTTTGAATGCAATTTTTAATGAAGTTAAGTGAGGTTACAAGGACGTTTTAAAGGAGTAAATCTGCATGGCTTCTTAGATACGCTACTAAAAGCACAACAACAAGAAGAAATGAAAGATAAATTACACTTCGTCAAATTTGAAAACTTTTGCTCTTCAAAGGATACTACCAAGAAAATCAAAAGATAACTCATAGAATGGGAGAAAACATTTGGAAATGAAAAATCTGCAAGAGATTTGTTTGCAGAGTATATACAAGAACATTCAACAACCCCACAATAAAAAGACAACTCCATTTTTAACATGAACAAAGCATTTCTCCAGAGAAGACACACAAAATGGCCAATAAGCACATGAAGAAACGCTCAACATCATCAGTCAGTAAGGAAATGCAAATCAAAATCACAGAGATATACCACTTTATACACATTTATTGTTATTGTGGTTAAAAACCATGGATTCCGTTCCGACTCATAGCAACCCTGTATAGCGTTTCCAAGGAGAGGCTGGTGAACTTGAATCGCTAACCTCATAGCTCAAACCAACCTTGTAGTCCTGCACATTAACCCGCAGAGCCATACCGGGACTCCTTATATACAATGGTGGGGTGATGGTTGTGTGCCGTGGAGTCAGTTCTGATTCATAATGTCCCTGTATAGGATTTCTGAAGCTATAAATCTTTATAGAAGCAGAAAACCTCATCTTTCTTCTGCAGAAAAGCTGGTAGTTTCGAACTGCTGACCTTGAAGTTGGCAGCCTGACTTGTAAACTACACTACCAGAGTTACTTTATACACGTTAAGATGGCTTAATCTAAAAGGTGATTTTCATGAGGATTCGGGAAAACTGGAACCCTCGTACATTGTTGGGGACACTGTAAAACACTGTAGCCACTTTGGAAAACAGGCCCCAAACCAATCCACTGCCATTGAGTCCAACTCATAGCTGTCCTGTAGGACAGAGCAGACCTGCCCCACACCTAGGATTTCCAAGGCTGTCAATCATTACAGAAGCAGACTGCCACAGCTTTCTCTGGTGGGTTCAAATTGCCGACTTTTCGGTTAGCAGCTGAGCACTTAACCATTGTCCTATCAGGACTCCTAACATGCAATTCCTTAAAATGTTAAACATGGAGTTACCATAGGACCCAGCAATTCCACACCTACACATATACGAAAGGAAAGTGAAAACAGATTCCAAATAAAAATCTGTATATGAATGGTCAAAGTAGCATTAGTCACAAAAGCCAAAAAGTAGAAGCAACCCAGATGTGCATCAATTGATGAATGGATAAACTACATGTGGTATATTCGTATGTTGTTGTTAAGTGCCATCAAGTCGGTTCCGACTCACAGTGATGCTGTATAGCAGTATAGCCAGGGTGGGGAACATTTAATTAACTCACCCCTAATGTGATGGAGTCCTGGGGTGGCGCGGTAGATTAATATTGTTGTTGTTAAGTACTGTCGAGTTGGTTCTGACCCATAGCGACCCTGAACAGGGTTTCCGAGGCTATAAATCTTTATGGGAGCAGAAAGCCTCATCATTCTCCCGCAGAGCAGCTGGTAGTCTTGAACAGCTGGCCTTGCAGTTCCCAGCCCTATTCGTAACCACTACGCTATAGAGCAGTTAAAATAATTTTTTTAAATTTTATTTCCTTTGCTAGGGAAGTTTTAGGAATTAGCCAAATGAGAAAGGGAATTCCGGTAAATAGGATGTTTTGTTTTTCTAAGCACTCAGTGTATCTGGAGCTCGTGTAAGAAGAGGATAAGGAGGTAGCAGGAGAGGAGACTTGGGATCAGTGAAAACCCAAACAAGTCTGTCTCACACAGGGAATAGGAATGGGATCTGACCTGACCTCATGGCACAGGGTACGAGTTTTAAGAAGGGTCCTCATCTTTCACTTTCCTGCTTCAACCTCTGTGTCCAACTCAGACTCAATACTGGTTCCTTTCTCCATCACCCAGAGGGCTGCTAAGCCACAGCCATGATTATCTTACCTCCTGAGATTTGATAACCTCCTTATCTACAGGGCAGATTGGCACTGAGTTTAATTCTCTGGAGAGAAAAATAAAAATGAAGCCAGTGTTAGGTCTCTACCTCAACCACGATTCCACATGCAGGCCCAGCACTTCAGCCACACTCTAACCCCTCAAAGAGTCGGTCCCTTTCCTTCCTCCATATCTTTGCACATGCTCGCCTCTACAATGCACCTCCCCAGGTTCCCAGTCTGTCTGAAGAATCCCACCCTGCAGGCTCAGGGTCATATACTAAGCTTCCAGGTAGAGAGTTAAGCAGCTCCCTGCCTCTGCTCCCATAGCTCTTTGCCCAGCTTCTTGCTTATCACCTGGGATCATAATCTGTCTCCTTCACTAGACTGGGAAGTTCTAGCGGCAGAGCCTGGGTCTTGTTACACACTGTACCTCTAGTACTTCAACTCTGCACATTAGAGTCTGGCAAAGTGCCTGGCACGCACAGATGGAGAATGAATAAACACATAAAGGGCTGGGAATGTGCTGTAAATAACAAGACCTCAATTACCCCCTGGCAAAGCTTGGTTGAATGCAGCAGCATGCTTACTGCCCCACCCTACAATGTCCCACCAAAGCCTATTTCCCTTTCTCTCCTGGAGTTTCCCTCAAAAAAGCATGCTCCAGTTTTACACATGCCCAGAAGAGACAGCATCCCTGAAGGCAAGGTTCCTTCTGGATGCTATTCCTCTGCCATACTGCAAGGAAAGAAAGACCAGGTGACAGCAACAAAACCCCTGAGAGATACAGGCCCTCCCCACATATTAACTCCCCACCAGAGACTGTGCGCTTAGGTTTGCTCTCACATGGAGCCTGAATTTTAGGGAAAGGTGACTATCTATAAATGAATACCAAAAAATGAACATGAGTCTTCAGGCTCTCACTGAGGAGTCCTGAGGGAGCCCCTCCTCACATACAGGGCTCTCTGGCTGACCATAGCAATTCCAGAAACCCTATATGTTATGGCTGGTATGTAGGTCCCAGACACTCTCACCCTTACACACAACTTAGAACCCAGCAACTGTGCCCCCTACACACACTTAGATCCCAGAAACCAGATCCCTTACACAGATCTCAGAAAATGCACCCCTACACACATTTAAACTCCACCCACTACTCATACTTAGATCCCCAAAACCGCATCCCTTACACACACTCAGATCTCAGAAGCCCTCGACCCTATACATACTCAGATCCCCAAAACTCCACCTCCTACACACACTTAGACTCTAGATCTCCTACACACACTCAGATGCTAGCAACCCCAGCCCCTATACACACTCAGATCCCAGAAATCCCATCCCTTAAACACACTCAGATCCCAGAAGCCCCAGCCCCTATACACACTTAGATCCCAGGTACCTCCTACCTTCTACACATACATACTTATACCTCAAACTCCCCACCCCTACAACCACTCAGATCTCAGACACTCCCATCCACGTCACACACTTAGCTCCCTGAAGCACCCCTCTGGCCTGCTTGGCCTGCTCACCTCAGGGACAGGATGCAGTGGTGGCAGAAACGGTGCCCACACCCCGTCTGGTGGGGGTTGTGAAGCACCGAGTGGCAGAAGGCACATTTGTAGCGCTCTTCTAATTGTTCCACAAATCGGTACTCGGTGTTGGGTTCAAAATCCAAGGAAACAGCGTTGCTAGAATTCTGGCGGATGAAACCACAGGCGATACCTCCTTGTCCATCAGAATAAGCCATGCTGGGGCATCGAGGGAAGAGAAGGAAAAGTAAGTGTCCAAACCACCAAAACTACTGTGGCCATCTGGTATTGGAATGATTTGTTTCAAATTCAGTGAGCATCACACATCACCCCCATGGCCATTCTGCTACAACTTTAAAACAGCAATAGCCACCTCCGGCCACTGAAGATGGGGAGATGTCCTTGTAGCAGGCTGCATCAGATGCAGTTGATGCTCCTTCATCTCTGTGATCATTAGTTTTTGACAGGATGCTAAATACCTGTATGAATCCTGGTATTTGTTCTGAATGCATGACATGGTATTCAAGTCTGAATGCAGGTAATGCGCTGGACTGCAAGGTTAGTTTGAACCATCAGGTTGGCAGGTCAAGCTCACCAGCCACTCCTCGGAAGCCCTATAAAGGGTCACTATGAGTCGGAACCGACTCAAGAGTACTTAACAACAACAACAGCAATAACAAATACCTGTCAGTGTGGCCACACTGTTGGATGACATTGTTGTTGCAAGGTGCTATTGAGTCAGTTGAAACTCATAGTCATGCTGTATTGGGTTTCTGAGCCTCATCTTTCTCTCCTGGAGCAGCTAGAGGGTTTGAACTGCCGAACTTGTGACTAGCAGTCCAGTGTTTCACCCACTGTGCTAGGAAGGCTCCTAAATTCTGCTAATGCTGTTAAGTGTCATTGAGTCAGTTTCAACTCATAGTGTCACTGTATAGTGTTTCTAAGGCTTGTAAATGTTTGGGAGAGCAGAAAATCACATCTTTTTCCTAAGGAAAAGCTGGTGGGCTTGAACCGCCAATCTTATGGTGAACAGTCCAGTATTTATCCTACAGAGCCACAGCAAGTTGTTAACTACATTCTAACTAAACTGCCTTAATGGACTTTCTTCTAAACTCAATTGAGTTGTTGCTAAGTGCCATGGAGTCAGTTCCAACTTATAATGACCCTGTATAGTTTATGAGGAGCAGTTAATGGGTTTGAACCTCCAACCTGTGGTGAGCAGTCCAGTTGCGTATCCTTCAGTGCCACACTAGGACTCCTACTCAATTGACAGCTGAATAAATATTTCAGCATCAAGTTAGAATTTTTCAAGCAAGAAGGTTATACTCGAATCTACCTACTTCTGGTAGCGTAGTGGTTATGAATCGGGCTGCAAACCTTAAGGTCAGCAGGTCAAAACTACCAGCTGTTCCACGAGAGAAAGATGAGGTTTTCTGCTCCCGTAAAGATTTACAGCCTTGGAAAGCCTGTACAGAGTCACGATGAGTCAGAACCAATTCCATGGCATATAACAACAACAAGAAACTGCATCTTTTTTTAAAAACGAGAACTAAGGAGTCCTGGTGTGGTGCTGTGGGTTAGTGCACTGAACTGCAAGATCGGTTTGAACCACAAGGTCGGCAATTCAAGCTCACCAGCCGCTCCTCAGAAATCCTATACAATGTTACTCTGAGTCGGAACTGACTCTAGAGCATCTCACAACAAGAGCTCATCTACTGTTTTCCCCACCAATCTATTTTCTATATTATAGTTGCAATGGTTTTTCAAAATCTAAGAATGAGTCAAGGCTACCTCCCTTACTTGAACTTCTTTCCATGGTTTTCAGGGTTCTTAGGGTAAAGTCCAGAATCCCCTTCCCCACTATCTTCCTAGACCACTTTTAATCTTGCTTTCTGCACTCCAGCTACATGGGTTTTCTTTCAGTTCTTTGAATACACTCTTCTCTCTCCTGTCACAGGGCCTTTGCACAAGCTGTCCCCTGTCCAGAATGTTTCCTCTGTCCCCTTCCAGTCAGTTACTACACAGGGTCTAACAGCAGAAAGCCCACTCAACACTTAATGAAATTTGTATGATTTACAGAGAAAGATGAGGCGTTCTGCTCCCATAAAGATTTACAGCCTCAGAAACCCTGTACAGGGTCGCCGACTCCACGGCACATAACAACAACAACAACACAGAGTGGCTGAGAGACAAAGGTGGAAGGGAGCTTATTTGAACCACAGAATGCATTACCTATCAAACATAAACAAACTGTTGTTGTTGTTGTTATGTGCCATGGTGTCAATTCCGACTCATAGTGACCCCATACAGGGTTTCCAAGGCTGTAAACCTTTACGGGAGCAGAAAGCCTCATCTTTCTCCCGTGGAACAGCTGGTAGTTTCGAACTGCTGACCTTGCGGTTCACAGCCTGATTCGTAACCACTATGCTACAATAAAATTTAAACATCCTTTGTAGAACGAGGTTCCTTTCCTTTAGAGAAATATTTAGTTTGTGTGATGAGATTTGATTTAGGTCTGTACCCCTCAATAATAGCACATAATCACAGATCTGTGAGCTTGCTCATCACTGTCTCCCCCGCCCTAACACAGAGTCTGGCATGGAGAACTCAGTCATTGGTTGAATTACTGCCCTTGAAAGAAATTTTTTTAAAGCCCTCATTAGAATAATGTGTCTAGCTTCTAAGACAGCTATTCTTTTATATATATATATTTCCGTCAGTAAGAAATTTACTTGTTTTTAAAAAGAGCCAAATGCTGGCATTGTTCAGAAAAAGTATAACAGGTTTATTTATAATTGTTATAAAGTTGAATTCCGGAAACTTATTCACTGAAACATTTTGACTTGCATTAATGCTTTATGTCCCTGCATTTATATTAAAAATTCACACAAATGAAAATGAAAAAACTGCCAATACCTGATTTCTGTCTCCTATTTTCCTATTCACAATCATATACTTAGGTACCTTTTGACCCCATGGGGGGAAAAAAATTCTAACGTTCAGAACTACCAGTAACAGGAAGACGAGAAAAAAAAAATCCCATTATAGTGAATTCTTAAGCACGTTCTCCACGTATGCGACGTGCTAGCTGGATGTCTTTTGGCATAATTGTTACACATTTGATATGGATAGCACACAGGTTGGTGTCTTCAAAAAGGCCAACCAGATAGGCCTCACTTGCCTCCTGAAAAGCACCAACAGCTGCACTCTGGAAGCGCAGATCTGTTTTGAAGTCCTGAGCTATTTCTCGCACCAGACGCTGGAAGGGGAGTTTATGAATCAAAAGTTCGGTGGACTTCTGATAACCCTAATTTCACTAAGCGCCACAGTACCAGGCCTGTAACCTTGAGGTTTCTTCACCCCTCCAGTAGACGGCGCACACTTAGGAGCGGCTTTTGTAGCCAGTTGCTTTGGGAGTGCTGTCCCACCGGTTGATATGCAGGCAGTCTGCTTTGTAGGAGCCATGGTATAGAAACCTCCTCACTTAACCCCCCTTCTCCTTCACCTGGAGCTCAGAGGGCTAGAGGTAGTGCTGGCGTTAGAGAGCGAGAGATGGCGGCGCGGCAACGAACACAACTCTTTAACTCTTTTGAACCAGGCTCTCCTCCCTCACTTAAAAAAATAATAATAATAATGAAAATTCTACACTTTCTTTGCAGAAAATAGCATACCCATCCAAACCTGTACATCTATCGATCCTCTGAGCCCATGTGTAACCCCCAGGTTAAGAGCAGCCCTACCTCCCCAGCAGGAAAGCTGTTCCTTTTGAGCACAATGTGGGGAGTGGTACTTTCTGGTGTCTGGCAAATGATCAAATAATGAGAGGCCACCTGGTGGTGAGGGGACCCCTGGGGATATCATCCTTCCACATGGCTGAGCACAGGAAGGCCTGGGCCTCAGGCACACTTGCTTTGTCTTGCCCTTGGGATCCCTTGAGACTCTTGTAGCTGATGAAGCCAACTGATGGAGCAGATACCCAGCCTGACCAGGTGAGAGATTTGTGCCATGGAGTAGGTTCCAATCATAGCGACCCTGTATAGGGTTTCTGAGAAACGGCTGCTAAGTTTGAAACATCAACCTTGTAGTTCAAACAGACCTTGCGATCCTACGGCGCCACACCAGGACACTAAGTGAGAGATGGGTGGCCCCACTCAACACTTAGCTCTGCTTTGGCCATTTGCTGACCTTTCTCCCTTGGATGCTTTGGCTGGCTTCTTTCAGTAAATAAAGCTTTCTCCTTGGAGGAGCCTAGCTGACCAGGGGATTTTTTTTTTTTTTTTTTCTCCATCCTGCGCTCTTGAGACCAAAGCCCCGCCTTTTCCTCTTGGCATGCGTTTCTTGCAAAACTTCAAGCTTGGTAGGTGAGCAGTGCAAGGTGTAGCTGTTTCTTTTTTTAAACACAGTTTACTCTTGGGATTTAACAAGCGTTTTCATAATAAAAATGAAGAGGCATGGTAGTTGATTTTACACACACACCTCCCTAATAACTAGGAACCTCCTTTCTCCTAGAAAAGTGGAGAAGCCAATTTCACACTGCCCTAAACTGCTCTATGTTCTCTCGTCTTCAAGGAATGGACGTTTCACACCCTGTGCTCCTCTGGGATTCTCTCCTGAGACTGGAACAGTGACAGCTGTCAGCCTGTCACTCTTGTGACATTGTATTTCACTACATCTAACTGTAAGTTCTCAGAAATGTTACTAAAGCAACAGGCTTATTCAGCCCCCAGAATGAGAGCTGTTATTGAGTACTGGTTATGAATCAGACTGCTAATCGCACAGTCAGCAGTTCAAAACTACCAGCTGTTTCGAAGGAGAAAGATGAGGCTTTCTGCTCCCGTAAAGATTTACAGCCTCGGAAACCCTGTACTCCACGGCACATAACATCAACAACAACAACCCTCGAGTCAGTTCTGACTCACAGTGACCCTGTATAGATAGGGTTTCCAAGGCTTTGTAAATCTTGATGGGAGCAGAAACTTTATCGTTCTCCCAAGGAGCAGCTGGTAGACTCGAACCAACAATCTTGTGGTTCACAGTCCAGTGCTTATTGTATGGAGCCACCACACTCCCCAGATAAGGGTGTAGGGTGTACGAAAGTCAGTGCAAACTCCTCCACTACACTCTAGTCTCTTTCCTAGCACAAGATTCTACTGTACTCATCTACCTCTATGACCATCTTTCTTTACAACACCGCTTCTCAAACTCTTTCCGTCCCAGCACCCTTTGCATTCTTAAAAATGGAGGACTCCAATGAGTTTCTTATGTGATTTGTACCTCCTGGCACTTGCTGTATCCTATTTATTGTATGTCACATCAGGAATTAAAACTGGAGAATTTTAAAGTGTGTCAATAATTCAATCTAAAGTAACAATAGTTCAATTATATGTTAACACAAATAACATATTTTTATGAGAAATAACTACTTGCCAAAACAACAACAAAAAATTTTTTGAGAACCATGTCATTGTTTTATATTTTTGCATATCTCTAACATCTGGCTTCATAAAAGACAGCTGCTGTCCCTCCTATCTGCTTGTGAATTCAGTCTGCTTCAGGGTCACACATCGTGTCACTTCTGGAAAACTACACTGGACACTCGTGACAGAATCAGAGGGAAATCAGGCAAAAGACACACCAGAATTATGCTAAGTTTTTTGAGATTATTTTTTATTGTGACAAAATATAATTAAATATTTGTCATTTTAACCATTGACAAGCATGATTCAATGGTACTAATTATATTCACCATATCTTGTAACCATCAACACAACCCAGGAAAATTCTTTTGACTATGTAGATCTCAGGCAGCCTCAGGCAGTGGTGTGTTGGTAAATGTTTAACCGCTGGCTCTCCTGGAAGGAAAACCCTGGTTTTGTAGCATACATCCATTTCTGTGGTTAAATATTCCCACCATAGCTGGGTTTCAAGCTACCAACATGAAACGTCACTGAACGCAGAGTTGGAAAGAGATGTACAAAGCTAGCTCTTAGGAACTCCTGAGCACTGCTTCCAAGTAGCCCCAGGTGACCTGACACACACTTTGGAGAATCACAGCTCCTCTAGCCTGCAGGATGGGCCCAGGCCTTGTCAGTCTGTGTCCCAGCAGGATTCAGCATAATGAGACCCTCACAAACAAGAGGCCTAAGGGCTAAATGCCCCATCTTCCCTCTTCCCAACAGCGTGGGTGCTGGTGGTGCTATACGATAAGCACTGGACTGCTAACCACAAGGTTGGTGGTTCAAATCCATCAGCTACTCCTTGGAAACCCTATATAGGGTCACTATCAGTCAGAACCAACAACAGCACTTAACAACAATAACAACAACTTAACACAGCTTTGCCGACGCCATCTACTCACCAATTCACCCTCTACTCTGCTGCCATGTTTTCCAATGTTTATTGTTATCAGTTTGTATTTATCAAATTAGACATTTTAGAAAATAAACACTTAGGTTACATTATGAGATACTATACTTTAGGTGTTTCAGGGGGGTGTTCTAGATAACTTGAGATCTGATGTTGCCCAAGAAAGGACCTGCCTCGTTCCTCTGAAATTTCCTCAGCCTGTGTCCCTGCTCTGAAACCAATCAATGTCCTGTGCTCACTGACATGGGAGCACCCCAATAATAGAACCACAGAGACTGACGTTTCTTCACTTAACAAATTTATTTCTCTAATTATTTCAATGCTTCCAGCTGGTACTGTCATTCCCAGGCAGCTATTTAGTGGAAATGAATATGAGTTCATTGTATTATAAACTTTCCCTCTGTGTATAATATCTTAACGTAACAAGAGTTCTGTTCTTGAAAATAAGCAAAAGATCATCAGAACTATGGCTCTTGGAGCCTGCTCATCTACCTTTCTGCAGGAAATAGTGCCTCACTGCTGTTGATGAATGCTAAGTGTGCTCCTCCTGTGAACACAAACCAAAATAGACAAGAGAATCTTACAGCCATCTGCTCCACAAGGGCTCCCCTGAGTTCCAAATACCAGTTTTTAGCTTCATGAGCTGATGCATCTTACCAATGTGGATGCCTCAGAATTTTTAAAGGAGAGTTCTGAAAGATCTGGTTTAAACGCTTCACTTACACATTTCTTCTGATTCATCTCCAGGGAGCATATCATAAACACAGCCCAACGTTCAGAAGCAGCATGAGTTTAGCTTTTAATGATGACAAAAAGGGCACACTATTTTTAGAGTTTAGTGTCAGATTTAGCAAAGAACCATCCTTGACATTCAAAGCCCCCCAACATCCTTTATATGAATGAAAGCTTGTAAAATTCAGGGCTGTGTTTATATATTTCATGATAGTAAGATAGAAGCCCAGGAACTACCACTCCAGGATTTTCAAGTTCTGATTCCCAGGGATTCATTGATTATTATGTATTATGGATTGAATTGTGTTCCCGCAAAGTACATGCTGGAACTCTACTTCTGTAAATATGACCCTATATGGAAATAGGGGTTTTCTTTTGTCACGTTAATGGGCTGTACCATTCACCAAGTGTAGGGTGAATCCTAAACGTCATCACTTCAGTTATATAAAAAGACCAGAATAGACACAGAGACATATATATAGGGAGAGAGAGGCCATAAGAGGATTCTCTACAAGCCAAGAAACCAAGGGGCAGCCAGGGCTACTGACAAAGGAAGAATTCACAATGACAATGCCTAATTTGGATTTCTACCACCCCCACATCTATGAGAACACAAAATTCTGTTCTTGTAGTATTTGTGCTACAGGTCAACTAGGTAACTAAGATACTATTGGTCGGATTCCACAATGAATAGGGCAAGATCAGAGCTCTACCCCTGCTCTGTCATTTACCAGATGTGAAACTTTGGGCAGGACACTCCCACAACCCTTCACTGAAGCAGTGTCTAAGTTCTGGACTAGGTCCTGAGAATAGAGACATATGACACCATGCCTAACCTTAAGGTCCTCCAACAGAGCAGAGAAAATGGGACATAAAAATGTCAAATTATAATATACCAGGGGCAAGAGGCATTAAAAGAATAAAGAACTGCTGAAGCCCAGATGAAGGGTAGCTAATACTTTGTGGGATGTCAGCGGTGATTTCACAGAGAACAAACATCTCAGTTGGTCTTGGAGAGGAAGGAGGAATTTTCTAGATGAAGGACATTATACAAGTTCCGGAATGATTAATAATTAAAAGGAACAAGCTAATCGTGGTCTATTTGCTTTCACATCCATTCCCTAGTTTTCCTCTGCCTTCACCTATATCATGAGGTGGAGGTAGGGGTGGCCCTGCAAATTGTTTCCCAGCCTATCTTGTTCCCTTGTTCTCAACCAATGAGCGGCACTGGCAGGAGACTAAGAGTGGGAAGAAAGGGAGAAGCCAGGGTATTCTTTCCTTATCCCTCTGTTAGGTGGAAGCAACTGGTGTTTCTCTAAGGCTCCAGCAACCACCAAATGGCCTCTTTCCTTCCCACCAGGCAGTCCCAGCAGGTTCTTAGGCTTTGTAAAGGCCATTTCCTCCTTTTGTCCCTTCAGCTGTGGGCAGCTCCCCACTATGGTCTACCTCAGATTGCCTCAGTTGGAGAAGCCGTTTAGATTCTCAACTTTTCCACTGCCAGTGTTATCAATTCCTGGGTAATTAAACTCTGTCAGAAATATCTAGAAAGTTCTATGTAAAATATAAGTGTGGAAAGACAGGAGAGGAACATTGTAAAGAGCTCTGAATGTACACAGTGGTCAGGAATTTCAAGCTTTACCTGTGGTTTTCAAAAGCCTGTGGGGTTTTGTTTTGTTTTGTTTTTATCATTTTGAGGATAACAAACATGGAGGGTGGGCCCAAATGGGGAGCTTACAGAAGAGCTACTACAACAGGGATGTAGGAGGATGTAGGAGGATGGAAGTCTGATGGAACACAGTGGCAATGAGAAGCCATGCATTCTGAGGTAAAACCCATGGCTTTAAAAATGGGTTAGGGAAAAGAGACTTGAGGATGACTACCAGTTCCAGACAGATGCTGGAACCAATAAGAGGGAATGAAGGAGAGAAGTATAGGATGTGTTTGTGTGCTGAGTTGAGTGGGAGACGTTATCAAGTCTGGGGCACCTGGGATAGTCTCAGGGGAATGGGCGTGGGTCACACCAGCTAATATCTCTTTCAGTCTAAACTTATGAGTCTAAGGAATGGCTACACTTCCTTCCTTCCATTGTGGTGTCAATAATTGTGTTAAAACTTCCCATGGCATTGTTTCTCCCCCATTTTACAGGAACCCCAGTGACAGTGCAGTCCTGATGTGGTGCTGTGGGATAAGCACTGGACTACTAACTGCAAGGTTGATGGTTCAAACCCGCCAGTCTCTCCTTGGAAACCCTATTCAGGGTTGCTATGAGTCTGAACTGACTCAGTGGCACTTAGCAACAACAACAATAATAAGGACTCCTGCTGTGGCACTGTGAAACAAGCACTGGACTGCTAACTGCAAAGTTGGTGGTGGGGGTATGCCATGGAGTCGATTTCTACTCATAGCCACCCTGAATAGGGTTTCTGAGGCTGAAACTCTTATCGGGAGCAGAAAGCCTCATCTTTCTCCCGCAGAACAGCTGGTAGTTTCGAACTGCTGACCTTGAGGTTAACAGCTCAACATGTAACCACTATACAAGGTTGTTGTTGTTGTTTGGTGCCATCGAGTTGGTACTGAACTATAGCGACCTTATGCACAAGCAGAATGAAACACTGCCCAATCCTGGGCCAACCTCACTACTGTTGCCACGCGATGCTGCCACTTGGCCAATCCATCTTGTTGGGGGTCTTCCTCTTTTTCTCTGACCCTCCACCTTACCAAACATGATATCCTTCTCCAGCAACTGGTCCCTTCTGACAATATGTCTGAAGTATGACCGACGAAGTTTGGCCAATTTGGCCTCCAAGGCGCATTCTGGCGCCACTTCTTCCAAAACTGATCTAATGGTTCTTTTGGCAGACCATACCACTTTCAATATTCTTCTTCAACACCAGAATTCAAAAGCATCAATTCTTCTACGGTCTTCTTTATTCACTGTCCAGCTTTTGCATGCATATGAGGTTACTGAAAATATCATGGCTTGGGTCAGGCACACCTTAGTCCTCAAGCTGACATCTTTGCTCTTCAACACTTTAAAAAAAGGTCTTATGTAGCAGATTTGCCTAATGCAATACGTCATCTGATCTCTTCCGTGAATGTTGATAGTTGATCCAAGAAGAATGAAGTCCTTGACAACTTCATTCTTTTCTCCGTTGATAAGAATGCTTTTTATTGGTCCATTGGTGAGGATTTTTGTTTTCTTTGCATCGAGATGTAATCCATACCAAAGACTGTGCTCTTTGATCTTCATCAGTAAATGTTTTAAGTCCTCTTCACTTTCAGCCAGCAAGGTTGTATCATCTGCATATCGCAGGTTGTTAATGAGTCTTCCTCCAATCCTGATGCCACATTTTTCTTCATATAACCCAGCTTCTCAGATTATTTGCTCAGCATACAGGTTGAATAAGTGTGGTGAAAGAATACAACCTTGTTGCACACCTTTCTTAATTTTAAACCATTCAGTGTTCCCATGTTCTGTTTGAACAACTGCTTCATTCATTGTTCCCATGTTCTGTTTGAACAACTGCTTCATTCAGTGTTCCCATGTTCTGTTCGAACAACTGCTTCTTGGTCCAGGTCCAGGTTCCTCATGAGCACAATTAAGTGTACGCAAGGTAGATGGTACAAAACCACCAACCTTTCCTTGGAAACCTTATACAAGATTGCTATGAGTCAGAACCTATTAGACGGCACTTAACAACAACAATAATGTCTACTGGTGTAGTGCTATAGGATAAGCACTGGACTGCTAACTGCTAACGACAACAATTTATAGATACATACATTTGTCTTTTAACTATAGTTACAGATATAGTCGCTGTTGTTAAGTGCCGTTGAGTCAATTCTGACTCATACTGCTATTGGATAAATGTTGGACTGCTAACCACAAGGTGTACAGTTTAAACCACCAGCTTCTCCCTGGAAACCCTATACAGGGTTGCTATGAGTCAGAACTGACTCAATGGCACTCAATAACAACAGTAACATGGTGGCTAAAGCATTTGGCTGCTAACCAGAATATTGATTGGTTCAAACCCACCAGCTACTCTTCAAGAGAAAGATGTATCACTCTGCTTATGTAAAGATTTACAGCCTTGGAAACCCTATGGGCAGTTCCACTCTGTCCTAGAGAGCCACCATGAGTCACCATTGACTTAACAACAACAGGTTTGGTTTGGTTTGACAGCATTTCAGTGGTGGGATTTGATGTCATAGGTTTAGCTTCATGACGGGAATGTAAGGTCTGAAAATCCCAGGAAGGTAGGAAAACTCCTTGAAGCTAGTATAAAGTCAGCTGCCTACTCACACCTGGAGCACAATCATTGTGTTAGTCTCTAGGGGACCAATAGGTGCTGCTCTCCCCAACGTGCCTGACCACCCCACCACCCCTTTACTAGGCCTGCAATTCCCTCTATTAATGACTGGAGTGGACAAAAAGTCATAGGCTCCAAGACCTGTTAAACATACAGAGTATCCTGGAGGAGTGTGAAGACTGGGAGGGGCCTCCAGCCTTTTCCCAGGCTCCTTTGTAAAGGGGTGGTAGCCAGACTGAGAGCTAGGGAGGCAAGGTAAATTCCTTTCTTTGGAGGTGAACCATCTAAGGACCAGTAATAAGATGGTGCAAAAAGGCTGCCCAGGTGCTCCAGGATGGTCCCTGAGCCATGAGCAACTGAGAGACACCACCACACCAGCCAGTAAACATTGCCTAGCCATGAGCTGCTGGGAGGCAAACTGCCCAGGCTTCAGGGTGTGTAAGGAGCCAACGCCCTAACAGCCACATTCAGCCATATGGGGAGGGTCCAAATATGTGATTCCTCAAACTCACCCAAGATCCAACAAAAGGTGTGCTTGTATTTAGAGATTTAAAAAACCAACATTAGTGCTACAACCTGATCAACTGGATCCTTGATTATGGTTGAGGCTGCTCAAAATTTCAACCAAATAGAAAAGGATTCAGGATAAAGCATGTGTCCTCAGTACACTGGGCTGATAGGGATGGGGAAATTAGTCTTCGGCTATCAAAATTGCGGGGCTATCAAGGCACAAAGTGGCTGATTTACAAGCTTTCATGAGGGTGCTTAGTGTCAGAACATGGGGAGTAAGACACAAACCAGAATAATTTCCCTCCTGTCCAGATGGATCTGGTAATGTGGGGGATAGGATTTTATGATACAATTGTGAGCTTAATGGTGATTGTCACAATTGTAAATATAGAAGAGGTACAACTAAAAGGGGGAGCAGTTAATCTGTCATCTCAGGAACAGGGGACCCTAGGACAATCAAGAGGAAAGAACATGAGAGAGGCGAGGGATCCTGACCTGAAAAGTGACAACAGAGATAGTGGCGGAGGCGATGGCGCAGAGAGACAGAACAGCAGTGGACGTTAGACCCACAGACTGAGAAATGCAGTGTGCCTGCAGGCAGGAGACTGCTTGCAAAATGTGACCTCTGAGCATTAAAACAAATACATATTTGCAATGTGGTATACCGAAAAAAAAAAAAAGTAATAGAGGTAAATACTGATGGCTAAGGGAGCATGGAGGGTATTGTAATCATTACAATGATCTGTTGAATGTAAAAATGATGATCTGTCCTGTACAACTTCACTCACTCAATCAATACACAATAAAAGCTTAAAAATACATCAACAAACCAACAGCAAATCTAATCTGTCATTGAGTTGATTCCGACTCATAGAGACCTTGTGTAGGGTTTCCGAGGCTGAAAATCTTTACAGGAGCAGAAAGTCTCCTCTTTCTCC